GCCGGCCCCGGGAGCCGGCGGGGACGGCCGCGGCGCACGGGGTTTCGGGGCTCTCGGGTCTTCGTGCTGCCCCAGGAGATGGTGGGAGCCAACAAGAAGGATGAAAAGAAAAGGTCCTTCCACCGCAATATCCTCCGCACGCTCCTTCCCGGCAAAGCCCGCCGGCCGCCGTGCCTCTCGCCGTGCCCAAGCCGAGGGGCTCGCACGGACTTTTGTCACCAGCCACTCATGTCACCTAACCGATCCTACTAATTACCGATTAATAATTAGTTAATGGAACAGAGCTCATTATCATTTCTAATAGTGGTTTGGTTCACAACAAAGCCAAGGGCATCGTTTTCCCAGAGTTAAATCGTGAGCCGGTGCAACAGAGCACGCTTCTAAAACATCCAACAAGCGACTCGGGGGCTACAGACCTGCTTTCTGAATTTAAATACAATTTGGCAGCGTTTTTGCTGAAAAAAATAAGTGAGAACTAGGAAAAAATGTCCCTGAATTTCCCTCCATTTTATTATTTTAGGAAAGGCTTCACCTTGGTGTTTCCAGCATGTTTCACCCTTACACTTTCAAAACAATTATTCGGCTCTTAATTTCTGAGCAGTGATTTTTCTTTACAAATCAACTTGACCGTGTTCAAAAGGGTTAAACAACCTGAAACCAAACCCAAACATTTTGTTTCATGTTAAACAAAATGTTTGGACTTGACCCAAAATGAAACGTTTGAGTGTTTATTTGGCCTTTTTTTGTTGTTTTTTTTTTTTTTCTCTTTCTTTTTTGGTTAACCTAAAAAGCCAGAGAGGAAAACCTTTTGATTCAACACAAGCCCATTTTTTTTTGGTTCTGTCAGCAAAAGGAAAAAAACACAAATTGTCCAATCTTCACCAGGACTTCACATGCAAAAAAAAAAAAAAAAAAACACCAACCCAACCCAGGATTCTGATTCGGTAGAAAAAATAATTTAAAAGGCTTCCCCAAACAGCCTAGAGTACAAGCTCTCCAAAGAGACCGTGATAAACCTTGTTTGTCATTTTAAAAAATTAGTGTATGCTTTTACGCTGCTGTCACCAGGAGATACTTTGCCTCTGCTGAATGTGATGGTGAACAGTGAGTAGCAGGATAAACAAGCAGCATGGCAAAGGCTGGTGCTGGAACAGAGAGGCAAGCACAGCTCTGAACCCAACCAACCCAACCCAGGAGCACTTTGTAATACTGGAAAACCAGTTTATAGCCCTGGCTCCACGGTCCTTCTCCACTGAAATTAAGGAAAGGTGGTTTTTTCTTGTACAAAATTAATCCCGGCGAAGCCCGGCCACCACCGCAGACCGAGAAAGAAGCAAGGGGCAAAGCCCGTCCCTCTCCCCAGGGATTCCCAGACCTTCTCACCCCCTTTGTCAGCCTTGAAAACAGGTAAATAACACTCCACATCCTCGGAGAAATATGCCAAGAATTTATACAGATGGATTATAAACCCGGCTCCCTACAGAAATGATCTATCTAATCTGCATCTCCCTGTGCACACAGGGAATCGGCGCGGGGAGGTGAGCTGCGCCCGCCGCTCCCCACACCTTTCGCAGCGGCTTTGGGGGCT